CTCTCTCTCTTTAGATATCTCGGTATCTGTATGTAAGAAGATGAGAGTTTTTTAGGATGTGCCCCTAGTTTTGAAGAAGGGAATATCAGGAGGACATGATTATTTAAATTACTTCCAGGAATTTCTTCAAGGAAAATAAATGACATCGGCGGAAATTACAAAAAAAAAAGTCGCATGGTAGCAGAGGTCCCAATGAAGCTTGATTCCTCGAAGTGGTGTTCATAATGGCATACGACACATTCGCCTCATACTTCATCAGTCAATAAACACAGAACCGTCAGGACATATCGTGACATTTTCAATTCATCCCCTTAACATCGCATGGAAAACCCTCATGAATACAGGGCTTTCAGAGCCCTGTATTCGTTGGCGCACGAAAAGACGCTCGAAGGAAAAACGAATGCGTGCTGACTTGGGGAAATAAACAGAACCCGATTAGAAACGTAAACGCTGCGTTTCCTCTTCCCCTGCGATCGCAAGCGGGCGGGGTCGCTTGGTGTGAAACGGCGTTGGGCGAGGTGTCTTCCCGTTTTAGAGGCGGGTGAATTTTCAGGGTCGAGCACCGGACGCGGTACGTTCGGACGGCGTTGTTCCGACGTTGTCGTGACTTTCGCGACCTATAAAAGTCGAGGATTTCCCGATGTCGGACTTCATCGTTACAGTTACTATGGGAAATTATGAAATCGCCAGAAATGGATTTCGACAGGGTAGGCATACGAACGCCGACGTGCCGTATCTGCACCTCGACGAGGCCCGCTCCACCGCTGAAAACCGAGCGAGCGCATGGAAACGCCGACCGAACGATCCGCGTTCGGCGATGACCCCCGAAATCCCCAGATCGCGAATGCACTGGGATGTGTCGTTCGGTGCGTGCCAGAGAAAAAAAATCGTGGATGAATTAAATGCGGATTAATATGAAATGGAATTACGTCTGAAGTCCTCAAGGAACGACGCTCTATTTCGCTCAATCGACACATGACAAAGCATCCGGGTTAAATATTTGCAAGCCACGCGAAGTGGCACCTCTCCGGTTTTTTTTCTTTCTCAACTTTCAGCCGATTTACAGGATGGCGTGTTCGTTTTAATCGCGCAAGTGTTTACGCGGAAAAAAAACTTGAAACTTCCGTGAAAATAATGCGTCGCAGACCTCTGCGTTTCAAGTACTTGGTAACAGATGAATTAAACAAAATAGAGCGTCCTCTCTTGGAGACCCTTTAGTCACACAATCGAGACCCTTTAGTCACACAATCGAGACCCTTTAGTCACACAATCGAGACCCTTCAGTCACACGATCTCGATGGATTCCGATGGGATTTCCCCTTCGTTTTCTCGCGAACGGAAACGCGATAGAGGGCGGGCAGGATCCCTCGACGATTCTTAAGGTCCAAAATGAACTTTACGGGGTGGAATTTCTTCCAGAGGGTCCAAACTTCGGAATGGACCTCAAGTGCCAGACCTGCCCTTTACGAGACGGCCGTGTGTACGATGGTACTAATGATGGTACTTAGTACGATGGTAGCGATTTACAAATGATTCTCACCACCTTTAACCTGCCTCAGCTCCTAGGACTTACCATTAAAATAAATAACCTTCCACGATGTGAAGCGGAGACGGATTTAATTTCCAAGCGACCTAAGAGGGATGGCGATTGGTTGCCGATTCCGTCGATTTCAGGCGAAATCGATCGCGTTCTGCGATCAGATTCACATAAATGGGAGAAGAAACCTGGAGGGACTTCATGACTTCGCTTTTTTTTTGCCATGGAATGCTAGTGTAAATGCTAACTCGATCGAAAGCAGTCATCGAGATGGCGTGGATAGGGTGGCCCGAAAATGAGGGAGAACACTTTTCTATGCGTATTTTAGGCGTGATGCTTTCAAGGAGATTTTTTTTTTCTGGCGACATGTACTGGAAATAAGCAAGAATTAGCAACAAAACATTTTTTTTTCAGACTTCGAATTTTTTTATTTATTCGCAACTAAGTCTTTCTTCCCTCCATTATTTGTAACAGGAAAAAAAAAAAACCTTGAAAACTTCGCATCTAAAATGCGCATTGAAAATTTTTTTGAGGCCTCACCATGCTCGGCACCGAGACCAATACCTTTCCATTACTTCTTCGTGACAGAGTCAATATTACTTGGCGATGAATTAAATTCTAACCGTCTGTGTCAGGGGTCGGGAACCTTTTTGGCCATGTGAGCCGCATTTAGATTGAGCTAAGTGCTTGTAAGCGAAAGGTTTTCAGAAAAACGGAATTTTTCCAGAAGTTGGCAGCAGACTTATGCATTCTTAGATACATGAGAAAAATGAGAAACAACCATGTTAAGAGTACCGGTGATGCAGCGAGGAAAGACTGCGACCAGGCTGAGGTCGTGATGCCGGAGCCCCCCGTGGACTGGACGGTCTCGGGGCTCGGGATCACCGCGGGAGACTGCGCTCTCTATCCTGACCTTCAACGGATTTTTTTTTTTTCATAGCGCAGCGCGTGGGAAACGTGAAATCTGATACCACCGTTTTGAGGAAGCCAGAAGCAATCACGGTTAAATCGGGGAGCGAGGAACGACACTCCCTATGTGCGAAGCAATTATTGCCACTACGTTATCACCATCTACATCTGTACACAGTAATGTGCGATGATATGGCCAGCAGCAAACACAAGATGATCGATGAGTCGGATCATGCCGACCACTCGACACAGAGAACACAAGAACATCGAGAGCATTGACGTAAGCGATTTTGCACGAATCCTTTGTGTCTCGGAGAGAGCAGGAGAGCAGTCGGTGACGTACAGTACTGCGTAGATGCACTCAAGGCCGACGGGACTCGAATATGGAAGACCGGAGCTTACAAAAACGCGGCCGGGATCGATCGACTAGAGCCCTGCACGGGCAGATTTCCGGTACCCGACCCGAAACTTGAATTCCAACCCAACTTCACGGCCCGACCCGAGCAAAAATAAAATACTTCAACCTAAGCTTTCCGGTGTATTGCTTCATCATTCAAAGTTGCTATGCAGAAAACAGGAGGTTGTTGACTGTTGACTGACGGGAGAAAATTTCTTAGGAGAGAAAGAGCCATACAGATTCCGGTCTCGAGTGGCACCCAACTGCCCCAAGCCGGGCTCAGATTTATCCGCCCTTCATTTGCAATAATGGTCACACAATAATCTATTGACATTTTCTTCACTCGGATTACATGCATAAATACATATAAGATTTCAGTCATAACACAAAGTTTCCATGGTCTCAGACCAGAGAAGCGATAAAATTGAAAAAAGAAGCAACTTAGATATTCGGCAAGAAGGATTTCGGGAATTTCGGCCAAAGATGGCCCGCGGGTCCGGTTGGGTCGGGCCGATGGGGGCGGCCCACAGCCCGTGCAGGGCTCCAGATCTGTAGAGTTTCACGCTCATGAGTATGGAAGATCACGGCTTGCGAAATCGTGTTCCATAACATCATTCTTAACTAGGACTGTCACGATAGCAGTTTGACCTGAACTATCGATAGTGTATCGATGCTTCGGGGAGAAGGGGGGGGGGGGGGGGGGGGGA